ATCCTCTTCTGGAGGGCTGCCTGACAGCCCAGGAAGCCCTCCCCTGGCAAATGAGGCCCCCGGGGGCCATGTGATCGCTCTCAAAGAGCGATCACATGGCCCCCTATAGCTGGCTGTGCATCTGCCAGCAGGGGGACTGTCTGAAATATCAGACAGTCCCCCTGCTGGTGGGAAAGTAAAAAAAAAAAGAATGAAACATGTGTAAAATGAAAATAAATTTATTTTTATATATATAATAGATTATATATATGTAACGTCATACAAAGTGTATTTTAATATTAATATAAGTACATATATTAGTATTAAAATAACAGAATGACGTTACATATATATAATATGTATATATATTATATATATAATAGATATATGCACATATATTAGATATATATACATATAATTACAATAATAAATAATAAAATAAATAAATTTTAACATTAAAAGTTTAACATTAGGGGCAAAAGAGTTGGCAGAAAAATCCAAAAAAGGAAGGATTGAATAAAAACCACCAGCTCTTCTGACCAAGAATGAGGTATTTTTAATCTTTCACAAAGAATTTTAAGCTCTACGCAAGTAGCAGTTTTAAGAAAGGGTTTAAAATATGCCCCAACACGCAATTTTAATTCATTTGTAACCTATATAGATTTTAACAAATTTCCTCCTGGGACTCTCTGCAGGTCAAGGTTAAAATCCTGCAGGGTCCCAGGAGGAAGTATTTCCCAAAGATCTTGTTTCGAATGCTCCACCTAATGTATATATAATTCATGTTATTTTTTGGAGTGGTTTTTAGGGATCCCACTCAGGTGTTTTTTGAGCATGCACCACCAATATATACCCATAACTGTGCACTTTACCCTTTTGATTTTATATCTTGAGGCATAATGACTAGCCCTAAATCTTTGTCAAAAAGATATGGAAGGGCTGCGCCAAATAAGGGTAGATAGTCCAGTAAAGTATTGCTAGGGTGCCAATAGATGGTCTAGGATACTTGATAGAGTTCCTCTGTGGATGCGTCTGGTGTAGACCGTTCCGTATATGTAAATACAAGAGAGGTAGAGGCGACTAATGGTATAGTATGAAAGTTCAGGGTGTGATAGGTAACAAAAAGTAAAGAACTCACATTCAGGAGAGCTATGGCCAGCTCTGGTGTGGATTGCGTACAGCGGTATAATCCCCGCTTATGGGATATGTAGGGAGGGGTCTCCGTCAGCACCGTCTGGTAGTCCAGAGCTCGAAAAAGAAAGACAGAAAGCAACAATAGTGCTCTCAATTTTGATGTGGTTCAATGTGCAGATAAGAAGAGGTAAAAAACTCACATTTGAGGGAGCTATGGCCAGCTCTGGTGTGGATAGCGTACAGCGGTATAATCCCCGCTTATAGGATATGTAGCGGCGATACGTCCGTCAGCACCGTCTGGTGATCCAAGGCTCCAATATAGAAGAATAAAAAGCAGCAATAGTGCTCTCAATTGTGATAGGTTAAGAGAGTAGTAGAGAAAATAAAATAATACTCACAAAGATAGAGCAGAGGTACTGCTCTATGGATAGGCGCCGGTGGTATGATCCCCACCTAGGATTTCTTGGAGTACTGGAACTTTAAAATTGCCAATGGAAGTAAAAGTAACCAGGAAAGGTTAAAATGCCAGGAATAGGTAAAAACAAAAGTTGTTTAAAGTGCATAAAGAGTGCAATAAAAAGAGGATTGGTACAATAAAGTAGCCAAAAAACTTTTATTGATCTAAAATACACAGTAAAATACAGAATTAATAACCATAAACGCGTTTCACCATAAGTGGCTTCTTCAGAATGGGATAAAAGTAGTAACCTGGCAGGGGTTGTTTAAATAGGGCTATGTTAATTTGAAAATTGCGCCAAAAGTGTAATTGGCCAATCAGAGACAATTTTTAAAATCACTTTTCAAAATTAGGATTCAAGAGTATGGGAGTGATGTTATAAAGGTGATGAGTCCATTTAAATTATTTAAATGTGAAAACTAGAGTGAGAAAGTTGTTTTTAAAGAGAAAGAAAGGAAGAAAAAAAAAAAAAAGTTGTTTGATTAAAGTTAAAAAAAAAAATAAAAGTTTGATTAAAGTTCATTAAAAGAACAAAAAAAAAGGGTTTGATTAAAGTTCATTAAAAGAACAAAAAAAAAGGGTTTGATTAAAGTTCATTAAAAGAACAAAAAAAAAATAGATGGTTTAAAGGTACAGAGATACAGAGATATATGTAAATGGAGTATGCATGAAAAGGGGGTAATATAATTCCAAACATAATGATTTAAATAGGGGTTATATTATACCCCAGAGTAATAATACAGATGTTAAATGAAAATAATAGATAAAATAAAAATAAAATTAAATAAAATTAAATAAAAGATTACACAGAATACAAGATACATAAATGGAAAGGCATAGATGAAAAAATAAAACTTAAAAGATTATTATTATTATGAGGGTTGGTTAGGTCCAGACATAAAGAATAAAAGCATGTAGATAAGGGTTGTATATAGGAATTTAAATAAAATTAAACAGGTCAAAATCAACATTTAAACCAGATGGGGTAAGAGTTTTGAGATTAAAAACCCATTCCATCTCAGCTTTACCTAATATGTTCTTAATGTTACCACCTCTCCATGGTATTATACATTTTTTTATGCCGATGCATTTAAGGTGTCTTATGTCGTTGTTATGTGTACAAAAGTGTTTGGAGACTGAGTGATTCAGGTAGCCTTTTTTGATATTTCTACAGTGTTCACTCAGTCTCACTTTAAGACTTCTTGTGGTCATCCCTACATACTGGAGACCACAAGGGCACTCCAACAAGTAGATGACATTTTTGGTATCGCAAATGATAAAATCTTTAATTTTATAGGTTTTGTTGATGATATTAGATTTAAAACTGGTGGTTTTGGAAGGGACGGAGGGGTCTGTGTTTTTGCATACAATGCATCTTTTACATTTATAAAAGCCACTGGCATTGGGCATAAAAGAATTAAAAGTAGGTTTGGTTTCTTTTGTAAAATTGGTGGTTAAAATGGATTTGAAGTTTGGGGCACCTCTAAAGACAACATTAGGCTTGTCAGGTATAATATTTTTAAGTATTTCGTCTTCTTTTAAGAGGTGCCAATGTTTTTTGATAATTTTTTTGACATGGCCACTTTTGTTATTAAAATTGAAAATAACAGGAAGGGGCATGGTGTTGGTGGTGGGTTGGGTATTGTAAGTTAGGAGGTCTGCTCTATCTTTTTTGGTGATGGTATTTATAATGGTGTTGAGGCGGGTTGGTGAGTAATTTTTCTCAATAAATTTTTCTTTTAGATAATTTGATTGTTTGTTAAAATCTTCTATTTGGGAGCAATTCCTTCTGAGACGAAGGAATTGGCTTTGAGGGGCACTTTCCAACCAAGGTTTGTAATGGCAGCTAGATCTTTCGATAGCTGTGTTGACGCAGACTTTTTTAAAAAATGTTTTGGTGTGGATGGTGTTGTCTGTAATGAAGATGTTGAGGTCTAAAAAATTAATAGATTCCTTACTTGTTTCATGGGTTAGGGTAATGCCTCTATTGTTGATGTTGAGGTGGTGGATAAAAGAGTTAAAAAGAGCTTCTGTGCCATCCCAGATAAAAAACAAATCATCTATATATCTAAAATATGTTACAAGGTTCGTACACCAAGCGTGCCTTCCCCATATGGCCGTGGATTCCCAGTCGGCCATAAAGAGGTTGGCATAGCTTGGCGCGAACCTTGTACCCATCGCAGTGCCTTGTTTTTGTAGGTAAAAGGAGTCAAAAAACCAAAAATAGTTGTTGGTTAAAATGATATTAATACCTTCTAAAATAAAATCTATTTGGGCAGGGGGGATTCTGTTTTCTTTAGTTAAAATTTCTCTGATTGCCTGGCATCCTATATGGTGGGGTATAATAGTGTATAGGGATTGGACATCACAAGTAGCTAAAATGTAATTAGTTTGCCATTTGAATTTGTCTAAAAAACGTAGTAGTGACATAGAGTCTTTTAGGTAAGAGCGCATTAATTTAACGGATGGTTGGAGGAGTATGTCAATGTATTCTGACAGATTGCAGAGTAGGGAATTTATCCCTGACACGATGGGTCTGCCAGGGGGGTTATTAATATTTTTATGTATCTTTGGTAAAAAGTATATGACAGGGAGTTTAGGGTATTTGATGTTAAGATAGTTGTATTCATTTTTGGTTAGGATGCCAGAATCCAAGCCTTTTTGTAAAAAAGTGGATAGGGTGATTTGGATGGTAGGGGTGGGGTCAGAGGGTAGTTTGTTATATGTTTCTGTATCATGTAGTTGTCTATGTGCCTCATCTATGTACATCTTGCTAGATAGGATAACGATCCCACCTCCTTTATCTGCCGGCTTTATGACAATATCTTTGTCTTCTTGTAGTTGTTTCAGTGTGTTGCGCTCGGCATGGGTGAGGTTGTGTGAGTCATATTTGTTATATTTAATTTTTTCAAAGTCTTTTAACACAAGTTTTTCGAACATGATGAGGGGTGCAGATTTGCAGTAGGAAGGGTAAAATCTGGATTTTTCTTTCAAATGAGTGTTGATGTTATTGGGGTTATTGATACTAGGCATGGGGGGTGGAGAATTGGTTGTGGTGGGTAATTTGTCGTTAAAAAATCTCTTTAGTGTAGCTTTGCGAACAAATTTGTTGATGTCTAAAAAGGCTTCGAAAGATTTAAAAGGGTTAGTCGGTGCAAATTTCATACCTTTATTAAGGACGGATATTTGGGTGGCGGATAAGATTTTGTTGGACAGATTAAAAATACCGTTGTAGGAAGTGTTTGAAGGGTTTACGGTCTGTCTAGCCTTTCTCTTTTGTGCTCTTCCGCCGCTGCGTTTACCTCTGGGCTTAAAATTCTTTTTTTTGTTCGTGGAGGGTAAGGTGTATTGGCTGTTAAATTTGGGATGTTCGGTCCACCCCCTATTCGTCATCATTGAGTAAACTTTGACCCTGTACCTCACAGTCAGCAGACACATTTGAGCCAATCAGCAGCAGACCCTCCCTCCCAGACCCTCCCACCTCCTGGACAGCTCACTAAGAATGCAGCTTCACAATGAATGTAAAATGGATGCTGGCCAGGAGGTGGGAGGGTCTGGGAGGGAGGGTCTGCTGCTGATTGGCTGGAATGTATCTGCTGACTGTGAGGTACAGGGTCAAAGTTTACTCAATGATGACACAGGGGGCGGACCGAACAGCGTATATGTTCGCCATCCGTGGCGAACCGTTCGGGACATCACTAATAGACAGTAAGCCCGGGAAATGAGCCTAGCAGTGGAGCATCTGCAGTATGTCCATAGGATTGGTCAGCCTACACCAGCATATGGAAGGTTGTCAATGCAAAGGAAAGCAAGTCTGTCGAACTGTGGGGGGGTTCCCCATCCATCCCAGACACGGACGTGGACTCAAATTGCTTCTCCAAGATGTACACCAAGATCAGATAGCTGTCCACAACTCAATGCCGCAAAGGTACTCAGACTGTGTGGTATAGTCTGCGGCTGACAGTCTGTGGTTCCGCGTTGCCAGAGTACCGCACGTCTTCGGTCTGAGGCCTTAACGGGCCTTGCCTTGTATATATTGATATCCTTATCAGGCTCATGGGCCCTTGGTGTAGGGACAGAGGAGGAAAGAAACTTCCAGATGGGCAACCAGCTCAGAAGAGGGATGAGTGACCAGGGCAACAGTGTGACAAGATGTGCTAATGAGTGGGGGCTTTGTGCCAGCCAGGTCTCCAACCCAGATTCAAGACAGTCTGTGGGGCCAGTTGCTTCAGGTGGCTGTATATCAGATGTTGTGAGTGGTTGTGGCAGCTTTGTGAGGGCTTCGATCCGTCTACAAACTGCTATGCAGATTTCATCAAAGGTGGCTAGAAACTTGGCCTCCCAGTTATTTACCAATAGCTCCATCTGTGAGCCAGCCATTTTGGCCATGCCACCAGGGGTTTGCAGTAAATGTGTAGGCAGTCTCAGTGATACTGTGAGAGCTTAATGGCAGTTCCTCCAATGGGGACCGTGATATCCCCCACTGGTCCAGGCTGGAAGAAGGGACTTTCCTTCCCTCCGTGGAAAATGGCAGGTAAGTAGGCTGCAGTAGCTGTGGCAGTCTGCAAGTTCTTAAATGTGACTCCAAAGTTGCTTCAAATTATATAAATTATACCACCAGAACTTCTCATTACCAGAACAGGTTTGGAATTTGTAAGTAGGGTACTTGTTTTAGACATAGCCCATAAGATCATATACAGTGCCATTGGGTTTTGCTTTCTTTTTTCATTAACATATTTTGTTGAATTACCACATAAAGGGTTTCTATTATCCCTAGTTGTTATATATATCCTGGGACTGGGATTGTATCATCTTTGCTGTTGCCAGTAAAGTTTTCTACTTAAACCTTAACGGTTGTTATGTATTACACTCTGTGATAAATGCTGCTGCCAGGTTGTTCTTTCTCTCCTGTCGCTCCTCTCACACTTCACCCCTCTGTCGATCCTTACACTGGTTTCCTGTACTCTACAGGTGTCAATTCAAAATACTAACCTAAAAAAGCTCTAACCAACTTCTATCTCACAAACCTGCCTCCTGCTCTCTCCTAAAGTGTCACACTCCACTCTCACCTCCAGTTCTGCTACTTTCCCACCATGTTTATTTGCTGTCTCCCTCAATACCCTTCTTATTGTGTTCTATGCCCCTAATAATAATAATAATAGTAATAATAATTTGTATGTTTTATTATTTTGTGAAGCTCTGCATCACTGTGTATCTTTTTCCCATATTTCCCACCATCTAAACATGTCTTCCATATCTCTTCTGAGACTCTGACTTGCAATCTTATCCTCCTTGCAAGTTAATGCAGGTTTAGTGAATAACTAGAAAAAAAAAAACCTTGCGGTAAATCTCAAGCCAACTTACCTCTTCATCATAACCCATTTATTGATCTTTGGATTAGTTGGCTAGCTATTATAGAGGTACCTCCACAATATGAATGGCTTTATTACAACTGACTTATAGGCAACAACATGCATACATGCATACTTGTCATCATTGTCCCTCGTTTGGGTTTCTCCTAATTTAATGTGTTGTAGCTGGTCATAATTAACAAATAAAGGCCCTTTGCATATAAGATATAGTGCACGAACTCATATGTTTATAAATAAATGTATTGTGTTTTTCATTCTTGATCCTTCTCTAAAAACTGTCTTATTCCTAGTTTTCCTTAAAATATTTTTAAGGTCATAACCAAACTACCAAAAGAATGATGGCATATTTAAGTCACATCTGGGATAGCATTGTAGAGCAAAGAAAATTCATATGCATGATCCATTTACCAGGGTAAAAGATTTCTGCTTGCTATCATGCTTCATGCTGTTGTGTATAATTATTAGCTGCAAAATAGCACAGCTTGAGCATTATTATTGCACATTAAAGAACATTTCACTTATAATTATGGAATGAAAGCTTTGGTTCACAACTCACCTACCAAAGCATTAACTCTGCGCATGTAAGGAAATCTAACAATAAAAAAATTCATTTTCATTAAAAATGTTTAAATTTGCGCCTTTCTGTTCCACTTCACAAATCTTTTATCTCAAGGATACTGACACATTAGATTACAACTTTAAGTTTCCTTTAATTAAAAAATAAGAACAACCATGAGAAAAGAAATGTAAATGAAAATAGCGTAATGTATGCTCAGAGAAATTGTAAAGAAAATATATCAAGTTTTAATACATGGAACTAGCTTATTTTAACTGTTTGGGATGATACATGGGATTTTGTCTATAAAAAAATATTTAAATATCACTCCAGCTTAAATAGAAATGTACAAACAGGTAATTTAAACAACACAACTTTTTCTGAACAGTGCAACATGAAAAAATATGTCTGAAAAGATGGAATCACAAAGAAAATCTAGGTGATCATACTTGCAATTATTCCACTGGATATCTAAAAGTGTAGATATTCCTGTTTGAGATCAATCCATTAGGATGGAAGCCTGGGACAGAATTCCGAGAGATTTTTTTAAACCTATGCTTCAGTTATGGGCTGTCAGCTTGCCTTACAGAGAATATAATTTTAACAACCACTCATGTATAGACTATAAGCTCCATTTGAGCAGGGTCCTCTTCAAACTATTGTTCATGGAAGTTTTCTTTTAATTGTCCTATTTATAGTTAAATGCTCCCTCTCATAACATTGTAAAGCGCTACGGAATCTGTTATATATAAATGGCAATAATAACAATAATGTAGCTGACCAGTGTGCCATGATTGTTAATCTTGTTAATGGAACCTAGCATGAGTGCTTCGTGTTCTGAGATTGAGTCATTGAGTGTTGACTTGCACACACAGAACAAGATACACAACTTATACCATATGGTTGATCTTATTTTGTTACACATTAAAGGACCGCTATAGGCACCAAGACCACTTCAGCTCAATGAAGTGGTCTGGGTGCCAGGTCCATCTAGGGTTAACCCTGCCTGCTGTAAACATAGCAGTTTCAGGGAAACTGCTATGTTTACACTAGGGTTAATCCAGCCTCTAGTGGCTGTCTCATTGACAGCCGCTAGAGGCGCTTCCGCGCTTCTCACTGTGATTTTCACAGTGAGAAGATGCCAGCGTCCATAGGAAAGCATTGAGAAATGCTTTCCTATGGACTGACTGAATGCTTTCCTATGGACTGACTCTTGCCGCGCATGCGCTTTCGGCGGAAGAGGGAGGAGAGTCCCCAGCACCGAGGGAGCCCGGCGCTGGAGAAAGGTAAGCCTTTAACCCCTTCCTTCCCCGAGAGCCCAGCAGGAGGGGGGCCATGAGGGTGGGGGGGACCTATTGACATTATAGTGCCAGGAAAATGAGTTTGTTTTCCTGGCACTATAGTGGTCCTTTAAGTCAGATGCTCTTCCTCATAAGGATTTGTTGTACATATCATTAGCCTTCTATTAGTTAGTTGTTGTTATTTTTTAAACTAATAGAGTAACTCTGAGTGGATTAGTCTTTAGAGAGGATACCCTGTCTTTGCAAACATTTGAAACATATTCTGTCTATTCTAGATATTATTTCAGAACTTGTAGCTACCTCTAGGATCTGTGCCAATGTCCAAAGATATTTTATATTGGTTTTGACTTTTCTCTGACTCCTTTTTTGTTATATTATGTGTCTTAGGCAAAATTGTTCAGGCTTATTCTAGTTTCTTTTTATCTTAGCTTTCAGGCTGTTATTGCTTACTCACTGGCATCTCTTTGGCTCTTTAGTGTGAGGATGTCCAACGTTGCTTAAAACACTTTTCGTGTTCTAAGAACATGGAAGTCCCTCTAGTGGCTGTCTGATAGACAGCCACTAGAGGAGGACTTACCCTGCAAGGTAAATATTGCAGTTTATGAAAACTGCAATAATTACAGTTGCAAGGTTAAGGGTAGTGGGAGTTGGCACCCAGACCACTCCAATGGGCAGAAGTGGTCTGGGTGCCTGGAGTATTCCTTTAAAGGATCTTAACATGTATGACTTGGAGGAAAGACGAGATGGGGGGTATGATAGAAACATTTAAATACATAAAAGGAATAAACACAGTAAAGGAGGATAAAAGGCTATTTAAAAGAAGAAAAGCTGCCACAAGAGGACATAGTCTTAAATTTATGGCGCAAAGGTTTAAAAATAACAGGAAGTATTACTTTACTGAGAGTGTAGTGGATGCATGGAATAGCCTTCCAGCTGAAGTGGTAGAGGTTAGCACAGTGAAAGAGTTTAAGCATGAGGCTATCCTAGCTATAAGACAATGCCAGGGACTAATTTAAGTATTTAGAAAATTGGGCAGACTAGATGGGCCGAATGGTTCTTATCTGCCGTCACATTCCATGTTTCTATGTTTCAGCAACAGTAAGCGGCTCAGTCTTATAGAACATTGTGGCGGAGCCTTTGATATCACATTCGGTTGCTCGTACCTATTCTGGAGTTTCCCGAACGTACCCTTGTGTAGCAGACTAGCTAAGCTTTATAAAACTTATTTCATTCTGTTTGACTGTCCCATGTTCGTGGCCCGAATGGAAGATGAGTGGTCCCTTCCCATTTTACTCTTTGAACACCGAACTTCAAAGGAGCAATTAATTCAAGTGCTTTCCCTGGGTGGCTGCCATTCGTATAACTTAATACATGTGCTCTAGTGAATAGCGGCCATTTTGTCTCCCAAACTCAGGCAGCGGTACATGGTTGTCGAATGCCTGGAACTCTTTGGCGGCTACACGATCCTGCGAACTTTGGGGAAAATTGTACTACTGCCCTTTCCTCTCCCAGACCAGTTAGGAGAATGCCGTTTGGGAGAAAGAAACTACCGGACAGTTGGAGCATTTGTCGTTGTTCGCACAGGAACTCCCAAAAGTGGACCGGCTGTTGCCTCTTTTCCTCTGGAACTATTTTGGGCTACCACCTCGTGGGCTGCCGGTCAGAACTTTACCCGAATGGTGATTCCATTTTATCAAAGGGATCTGAGCGCTATTATGACACCTTGGGTGCAAACAGCCGCAACATGACACAGAGCTGAATCCAACTGAAATATATAGGCTTCATTATCCAGGTTAGGATCACATGCTGCAGAAAAACGATCTGCCAAAAATCACACGTCAGTAAAAGAATTCTACATCAATTATTCAAAGTTGTAAGTGGCACTGACAATATCAGCCAGACAAGGTGAATTATATTTTTTATTATTATTTAACTATATGATGAGGAGTTAGACTGTTCATGTCTAACCTCTGTCTGCCTGCTACTGACATTACCTTCACCATCCCCTTCTGTTAAATGGTGGTGGTAGTAGCGGTGGAGAAGATAGCACAAATTATAGACTTGAGAGCTTAACTCTTACATAAGTAAGAAGAATAGATCAGGGTTTTGCAGTTGTTGTGATGTATTTGGATTTTGCCAAGGCATTCAATA